AGGGAAGAAATTTTTTTGGGGAAAAGGGGGGGGGGGGGGGAGGGCGTGTTCCTGTTAAATGTACCTGAGGTCATAGTGGATGTTTATCTATTTATACATATATATACATGTGTGTATATATATGTATATACATATAAATATAATTATACACTTATATATGTGTGTACATATATTCAGACTACAAATCATGTAGCAATGTGGAAAGCAGACAGTATCTTTGGACTAGGTCACAAGTAGAAATGGACTGTTTTTACAAGGCACTACTTTTATGACTTGTAGTAGTTTCCTAGTAGTTTAGACTTACTCTCCTTCTGTATATTTACCTCCCTTATACCACTATAAAAAATGCCTCAAAAAGTCAGATGTGAAGACTGTCTAGAAGTTTGAAGTAACTATGGTAAAATAACTTGGACACAGTATTAAATTTATCATCTTTCCTATGGATATGTATTTCCTAGTGGTAGGTAGCACCATACGGTAACATTTCAGGTTGCTAAATATGACTAAATATGAGTTCTAGTTAGCTGAGTCAGTCTGATGTTCCTGAGTTAGAAGAGAATGGGAAAGGGGCTGGTACATATCCTGTCTGTGCTGGGATTTGCTGTTGTTGCGTATCACTTGGTCCTCAGAACATTCTTTTTCTGTGAGAAAAGACAGTATCTCAGCACTTTCTTTATATCTCTTTGTTCAAAAAGGCACCAATAGGCTTATTTCCTTTATGCACTTAATCTGCCAGGGCTTAGAACCTCGTCTGTTAGATGCTGAAGGGCACTGCCTCTTCTGAGGTGGAGGTTATATTGTCATACACTGCCAAAAAATGTGGTGTTCAGCACTGGACAAGACTCTGCAAATGATTTGATTAGGTTTCTGATAAATGGCAAGGCAATGATGGAGAGAAAGCAAAAAGCAACATGTAGTGTTTAACTTTCTTTTTCATCCCCCTCCAGAAACAAAGTAAAGATAGATTTGGGCTTGAAGGTGATGAGGAATCAACCATGTTGGAAGAATCTGTTTCACCGAAGAAGTGAGTGTATACAATAGGAGGAAATGCTCTTTATTTAAGTGACACATTTTAGCTGTGGCAGCTTTTTTCAAATGAAATAGTATAATTATTACTGTTAAAGAATTACAGAGTATTTCAATAGAAGGAAGCACTGTCCCCAGGCAATTCAGCAGGCTCCTAGCTTCATTTGAGGATTGAAGAGCAAGTATTTGTCTTTAAGTTGTTGGTTAAGGCAACCGGCAGTGGTATCAGTTTGTGGTAACTGGACTCTTGAACAAAGGAACTAAGGCTGTAATTCAGTAAAATGCTGGGGGGCAGTAATGATGCAGAGCTGAAAATGTCATATTAGATTTTTGATCTTCATGCAAACACCTAGCATTTACAAGGTCTTAGTTGCTTGTGTCTGCTGGGTCCATGGTTTCCAGTAAATTTGACTCCTGTCAGTGTATATTGTACACTGTGTCATGAACAGAGCTGGCTTATTTCACCAAACCACTTTAGACAAACCAATCAGATGTGTGGTGTGGGTAAAGGTAAGGTTTTGGTACTAGTAGGTCAGGCTATGGTTCTGATGGGAGAGTAACTGAATATAGCAAAAAGCAGAACTGTAGAGCTGGCCGTACTCTTATAAAAGGAATATTAAGTCCTCCCTTGCTGTGAAGGAATAGAAATAGGTTCGTGATGTTATAAGCTGTAATGAGCCACTCAAGTCTCCTCTTGGAACTCTAAGGATGGCAGTGTCAGCAGTGTATATGGGAAAAGTCTATTTGATTTATTGTTAAACATATGGTTTATAGGAGATAGACTTGTTAGATATTTAATGTGGCCTTATGTGAAATTTCAGCTTTTGACAGATCACACATGTTCAGATGTGCTTTCTTTTGACATTGCCCTTTCCAAATCACTTCCAGAATATACTGTTAGCTAAGTGCTGTGCGGAGAAGCCCAAAACTTGTAATAGATGAATACAAGATTTTTCACAATTGAAATTACTTTTTTCTGCAGCAGATTGTTGTTGTTAAAGCCAGAATTCCTGCTAACGCTTCTAGCTGTTAAAGCTTGAACCATATTTAAATAAGAGCAGTGTATCTGGCAAAGTGGTTCATGACCATGGCTGACAGTAACTTTATTATTCTTGAAAGTATCCTGCCTCCTAGCCCATTATCTGGTAGGCTGCCAGATTATTAGCAAGTACTATGTATGTATAAAGAGGGAAAAAAGCACATTAGTTTTTATCCCAAATCTAGGGATTGCTTGCAAAAGGCATCTCCACAAGCTTCTATTTTCTATTGATCAGCCTGTGATACAACTGAAGCAAAGCAGTTGTTATGCCATAAACCTTGTTCTAGTTCTGTCTGTCATGCATCTTAGAGGGGTAAAGTTACTGTACCACATACACCGAAGCTGCACATTGCCTTCTTTCCTTAGTGCCTGCTTATTAGTGCTATTAATATTAATATCTGCCAAAGGCCCCAGATTCATTTTTTTCTACAATGCTAGAAAGCAGTTAGGAAAAAAAGACTGTAAACTTTTCCAGCTTCTCAAAATGTTGTGAAAGGCAATTTAAAATCCTAAAGGAAAAACATCCAGCAGAACTTGATTTGCAAGAGCTAACTAATTCTTTTTGTGTTGGATTTTCCTTTTTTCTTTTTTGTGTTTTTGGTTGGTTGGTTGGTTTGTTTTTTGGTTTTGGTTTGTTTTGGTTTTTTTTTTTTTTTAGATCTACCATCTTGCAGCAGCAGTTCAACCGAACAGGGAAGGTGGAGCATGGCTCTGTGGCACTACCAGCTGTTATGCGTTCAGGGTCCAGCGGACCAGAGACTTTCAACATTGGCATCATGCCTTCTCCCCAGCAACAAGTCACAATTGGTCAGATGCACAGAGGACATATGCCCCCGCTTGTGAGGAACCTCCTTGTTTTGTATTTGAAACTTTTTTTTTTTTGCATTTGAAACTTGTCTGTGCTGCAAGTAGTCAGAAATAGTCTGTTATACATATTACTAATAGCAGGAGGAGGATATCGAGTGTGACTTCCTGGCTGTCCTACTGAACATAAGCTTTGAGCATCCCTGAAATATTTAGGGTATCACATTTTGACTTATTTCCTGATTTTCCTTAAAGCTGGCTCTTCCAGCCTTCTCTTTACTTCTAAGTAGTTAAACTAGTATTCAGGGGTCAGAAAAAAAGGTTTAAAGACCAGCAAAAGTAAGCAATTTTAAGACAGAAGTTTACATTTAGGTTATCTCTAGCCCACCAATTTAGATTTTTTTAGCATGCTTAAAGCTGATGCTGAGTTTTAAAAGACTATCAAAAGGCCTCAACAGGCTGTGGAGAATATAATCAATGCTTAGGATCATGACATGCCACTAGAAGTGTAGTATGTGTAGTGGGTTGACCTTGACTGGTTGCCAAATGCCCACCCAGCTG